GAGACACACAACAACCTACTCCGGCGTCCCACGGGACGACACACACACACACACACACACACACACACACACGGCTCTGACTGTATGGACAGTGCTAGATCTGTGTGCATGATGCTTGTTACATGCACGCTCAGAACTGCACATGCAGCCGGTGGAAGAAGTTTTTAGGACGGTCTCAGCGCAGCCTCCTTTTTTGCAAGAGCAATTTTGCACCCCCAACAAACCACATCAGCTGTCTGTGCAACCCACCCCCTGCCGCATCCCCCTTCCCATAGAACTACTGGCCAAAATCGAACCACGTCCGATGGGATTTTCAAACGCACCCAGCACCAGGCGATTTCTGCTCCCCTTGGAAGCCCCCACTGACTCCCCCTTTGAAAAACCCCACCCGTGGGTGCTCAGCACTTTGAAGGGACGGGTTTTCAGCGGCAGACGCACGTGGGTGAGCGTGTGATTTCTGTAGGGGGCTGCTTCGACGAGCGGAAACGGCACCCTCAAGCACGGGCAGGCGCGTGCGAGATGTAATTAGAGAGTTGTGGGTTGTCTACCCCAGGAGCGATCCCTAACTCCACACTGTGCAGGCCCTGTCAGTGCGGAACAGCTGTTACTAAACGGCTCCGTGGTGGATAAGCCCTTAGACCTTATCCACGCTTCCAAGCTTTGCCGTAAGAGCTGCACCGACACAGATCAGAGCGAGAAGAGTGCGGCTTGCGCCGGAACAGCTTAGACTGGTTCTCCAAGCAAAATAAGCTACGGGGGCAAAAGCCCTTTTATGCTCATATAACCACAGCTACAAAATTGTAAGCGTCGACCAGGCCTGAGAGTGAAAAGGGGAGAGAGCTCCCGCGAGAATCCCTGCTGGGATGCAGCGGAGAGGGGGAGAAGGGTTGAAGGCAGGCGGAGAGACTCCTCAGGCATCACCTACATCGGGATTGGATGCAAGTTCCGAGCGGAAGAAAGATTCACACTAGTGAAGTGCAGTCTAGTTGGACAGCAGCGTAAATTGCCCTGGTGCATGTCACATCTAGGCCAGAGGTTGACACTTGTGCGGCTGCGCCCCGGCTCACAGACAATGCCTTTCACTTCCCAAAATGTTGATTCTCACGCAGCCAGCCAGAGGAGATGACTGCCTCCGGGACCGGGAACTGGCTACTTCATCGGATACCGAAGTGGCGCCCCCTACTGGCAGGCTGCTGGCTCTGGCACTTCGCCCAAGAGTCTCAAAGAACCCAGCTCCCCATCGGGCATCTCCTGCAGTACTTGTGACCCCCAGCGCCCCCAGCACGACCCAATACTCACTACTCTGGGAGGAGCTTTTGGGCTTCCCGATGTATTTCAGGATGGGATTGCGTTTCTTATCCTCCATCGCGTCTTTGTCCTTCTTCGTGCTGCTGCTCTGCTGAGACACACGACAAGAGTTGGAAAAACAGTCTTTGCAAGGGAGGCATGTTAACTCCCAGGGCAACATGAGCTAACGCAGAAGGAGCAGCAGTAGCTGCATTTAATTTGCAAGGAAGGAAACTGAGGCAGGGTGGGCTGGTGGTTAGGGGCCAGGGCTGGGAGACGGGGTTCTAATCCCCACTGACTTGCCATGGGGTCCTGAACCAGTCACTCTGTGCTACAGTTCTCCCCACATCTGTGCAATGAGGGTCAATGACACTGGCCCACCTTTGTCCAGGGTACCGTACTTGGTACCTTTCTGCTACCTGTCTACCAGGATGCTGCACCCTGCAGCTACTCCAAACTTCCCAGGAGCAGCATGGACAGAACTCTGATCCGCCTGCTCTGAAAGTCCAAGCCTCTATTACTGGAGCGAAGGGAGAATCTCCATTCGTTGTTAGAAGTATAGGGCCTATGACACAGTGGAACAGTTCCGATTCCAACCAGGAGGGGGCAGCCATATATAAACAAACCAGCCAGTTTATTTCAGTACAACACAAGTCACAAGTCACTTTGTTTATACCGATGGGCACACAATCCTGCGTGTCTAAATTCACCAGCAACACATCCCTCAGCCTTGTCTTCACCCTCCAGTTAGAGAGAGCAAGCAGCTGCCGGTCACATTGAGCTTTCGTTAGTTCCCACTGGTCTGGCGTCAGCCTGACTTTGCACAGGGTCTGCTACACAAACCACCCCCACTCCCATCCCAGAGTGAAACACCCAGCACCAGGATCAAACGGCAGGAGGGAGAGAGACGGGGGAAAGGGCGTGGGAGGGAAGGTGATGGAGGTGAAGAGATACTGGGAGGCTGCTCCGGGCAGCAGAGGAGGTGGCTCTTGCACCAACACAGATTGGGCAAAGGGACAGAGCGGAAGGCACGGCGCGGAGGAGGCCAGGAGACACAAGGGGCCTGATTTTCCCTCACCCAGGGGATCTGTGCTGTCGTGTACCCCGGCACAAGGGGCCACCAGATCAGAAAAGGCCACATGTTGTGCCCGCCTTGCCCAGGCGCAAGCGACGAGGCGTCCCGCCCAAGGGCCGTGGCTGGAGGGGAATTCTGAGCTGGCTTCTCAATGAACAGGGAGCGTCTGGAGTTCACCTCCCCAGGGATGGGGATTAGGTGCTCCCACGCATTTCTGCAGGGGCGCTGGGGCTCGGGGAGGCCGTGGAGACAAGAACTGTGCTAGGCCAGGCCTGAGGAGCTGACGGCACTGGGAAGAATCCGGTCAGAAAAGGGAACGCGGCCAATGCCCCACTCACCTTCTTGGCCTTGGGGAAAAAGGGCAGCCACTTGTCCTTGTCTGGGAAGGCCTGGGACTTCTCGCTGGAGCTGGCCGGCCGGGCCTCCCGCATCCGGATTCCCGTGTGGCTCATGTAGGTGCTGAGGGCAAAGGCCATGGGGGAGCTGGAAGAGGGGAAAACACAGACACGCTGCAGATCATCCAGGACACAACGCCAGCACTGGCGTGCCAGGAGACTGGACTCGTTCGGCCACCGCAGGGAGAATTAGCCGGAAAAGAGTCAGTTTCTTCTCCTTGCTGCGACCGCTGGGGCCAGTCCATGCCTTCTGCGATAGCAGGGGGCCGTCCTGCGGGACACTACAACCCAGACAGACGCTACTCAGCTGCTTCCCCACGGGGCGCTCATCCAGCCGATGACAAGTTTGCCCTACCCTGGCGTTGGGAGAGGAAAGAGTGATCTAGCAATGAGAGGACCCCCTCCCTGAGCTCTCCAGAACCCCACCCCCACGGCCACATCTGTATGGCACCATCACATCTGGATGCACACGACTGCTGGGTGCCAGGCAGACACTCACCTCCTGTCCTCTTCGTATTTCGACCTAGAGCGGGGAAAGAGGGAAGGGGTGTGAGAAACCAGGCCACCTCCGTAAGACACCATTTAATCTGCCTGATCAGAGCCCAGGAGCCCGAGGGACGATGTCTCAGACCTAGCCCTTCACGGCCACGACTCAAACCAGCCGCTTTAAAGGCACGGGACCGGATCCTCTGCCGGTGTAAATCGGCAGAGCTCCTTTGACTGCAATGGGGATATAGGGTCAATACTACTCCAACCAGCACTGGCAAGAGGGGACAGGACAGGGTGTAAGAGAGCAGGTCCCCGCCAGCCCCACGCCTGCTGCTTCCACCTGCCCCCGCATGCCAGGAGCCCATTCCTTCCTTCAACCCCCCCGCCCCCACACACACATGTACTCAGAGCCTGCTCCTTCCACCGGCCCCCCCACCACTACAGAGTCCTAACTGGACTTCAATGGTAAAGCCAGAGTGCCCGGAAGCTCGCAGGAGCGGCCCTGGGATCCACGCGCCAGGCTGAGCTGGGTTCCGCTCCCGCTCCCACCGGTCGCACCCCACTGCCGATCTCTGCTGGTGTCAGCGAGCCCAGAGCCAGGCTGGGGCTGGATCACACGCCGGACGGGGACCAGCCCCGCCGCTTGGCACTCACAGTATGTCGCCCAGCTGAGCAAGCTGCTTCTCGGCCACCTGGCGCTCCTTCTGGGGATCGCCGTCCAGATCCAGCAGGTCGTTTTCTCCATACAGGCTTCCCAGCCCCATGGTGCGCTTCGTCCTGCGGACAGACCGAGGGCCACAGGTCAGCCCCACGGGCCTGAGCGGCGCAGGCAATCACCCCAGCGAAGAGCTGCCCGAGACGAGGCCATGGAGCAGAGGCAGTGCGAAGGCCTTACCTGTAGTCCTGGATTTGTTCCTGGATCTCGGGCATCGCTGCGTCCTGAGCCTCGGAGAAGGCGCTTCGGACGTCCTCCCCGTTCCGCAGGCGAGACTCTGGAGCCGCAGATGGGAGACGAGGAAAGACGCTCGTTACCAGCTGCGCTCGGCTGGGGGGGCGGGCAGGGGCGCACGGATGGCCCAGGGCACCAGCAGCGTCAGATGTTGACATGGCATGTTTCAGCCAAAGATCCCGCCATGCCTGCCGATCGGGCAGCTGCTTTTCAGGGGTGTACACCCCAGCAGCCACGTCAGGTGCTCAGCACCCCTGCTAGCAGCCTCGAACTTAAGGCCTCATCTACCCTGGGACTCTCCCACCCGGATTCCTGCCGGCAGGGTGGCTGCACCACTGCCATCCCGAATGCTGCCGGGGAATCCCCATTGTACCCCGCGATTAGCAACAGCACAGCTCGCCGGGGTTCCAAGCAGGAGAAAGCCACTCTGGTGCAAAACACAACTCTGCCCGTTTGCACTGGGGCAGATATCCTGGGTGCTGGAGTTGGGGGCAAATCCAGGCCTGAGCCTCCCAACTCCGCCTGCAGGGCAGGTATGGTAAGACAGACAGGCAGCATAGCCCGGTGGAAAGGGACTTGGGAATCCTGGCTTCTCTTGCCAGCTCTGCCACTGGCCTGCTGGGTCACCTTGGGCAAGTCACTGCCTTGCTCTGTGCCTCAGTTTCCCCTCCCGCCCTCTGTCTAGTTCAATGTTAAGCTCTTCGGGGCAGGGACTGTCTCTCCCTTCGGTCGTGCACAGTGGGGCCCGTTAGGCGCAGCCGTGAGTCTAATTAATGGTAACGTCCTCAGGCCTCTGTAACTGAGGCTCATGCAAGGGAAGCGACTTCCCCAAGTGAGGCAGGAAAAGAACCCAGGAGTCCTGACTCCAACTCGAACCACATGACGCCGTTTCCTTCCTAACGCAGGGCAATACGAAGGGGGGGAGTGAGGTCTCTCCTATGCAGACAGACCTTCTCCAGAGAAGCTCTGAGGATGTAGAGTTCTGCACTCTAATAAAAGAGACTTTGATTTAAAGCAAAGCCACTGGTGCAGTGGTTCTTAACCTGGGGTGCACTCACCCCCTGGGGGTGCGAGCTGCCCTTTCTAGGGGTGCAAGATAGGGCCAGATTTTTTTAGAGGGTAAATCATCGAAAACACAAATTAAGCATAGGCACGTAAGTACAACTACTTTGTTTCATCAAACCTATGTATTTATTAACATTATACCTTTTTAACGATTACTGTAACACACAAACAAAAAAGATAGCTAAGTTTAAAGAACTGACCTACTTGGACGGTTTCTGATACGGGGTGCGAGAACCTATTCTGAGAACCAAAGGGGCGCAGGCCGCAGTCAAGGCTAAGAACCACTGCACAGTGGGACCAGCAACAGCCAGTGGTCCCTGATGCGGAGATCTAGAGCTGCTGAAAACACTGTACTGCTTCAGCGACTACCCCTAACGGCCTAGGCCTGGCCTCAGAGTTCACACGCACACGCAGACGTGCACACGCACTTACCTATGTCAGCTAGCAACTGCTCAGACACCTTTATTCTCAGAGGCTAGGAGGGAAAAAAAAAATGCAATTACGTCTCCATGAATTATTATTCTAGGGGCACCAGGTCAGAGGATAAACACTGTGGGAGTGCTAGTAACGCCGGCATGCGCTTTGCACAGCAGCGTCTGTATTTAACAGACCAGAGCTCAGACTTTCACCCCAATTGAAACACCGGATTAAATCTTAACCGCTTGCCACTCAACTAACGAGTCCCTATTAAGCAGTATATTTGCTACCACCGTGCCTATTAAGCAACAAGGGGGGAAAATCGCTTCTCTCGGAGAAGGCCACAGCTAAAACCACCCATCCCAATTAAAGCAGGCTGCCGGGCCTCGTCTATATTGGCTTTTCCTCCAGCAGCGTAGCTACACTGGTGGCAAACACCGGCGCAGACACGGTTTACAACAACGCAACACAGTTTGCACCCGCACAGTTTACTGTGCAAGCACATCTGCTCGGGGAGTTTGCCTCAGTGCAGCTATGCTGATGGCTAAAAACCCAGGGGACCCAAGGCCTTGGTTAAAAGTTTTCCACCTTGGGAGGCTGAATACAAGGACCGTTAGACCGCGAAGCCACACTTTGCCGGCCTTCTCCTGCGGGAAGAAAGCCCCACACCCGCTGGCAATGCTGCCAAGCTCCCGCACTCACCGCGTTCTTCTCCAAGAAGATGTTCCAGATCTCCTTCCCCAACGCCCGGGAATCCTTGGAGTTCATTTGCTGGCAAACTTCTGCACACAAATAGAAGAGCTGGAAGGACGGGGGGAGAGAGAAGAAAAAGAACGAGAGATGAAGAAGGAAGGAGAAACGCTTAAAGCAGCAGCAGCAGCGAATCCCTCCAGGACACAGGACAGACCGTAGGGGGTCTCCAGGGGTAGATTGTGCCCTGTGCTGGGGGAGGAATCGGAGCCCTCGGACGGCATTTCCACCTCTCACGCCTGCGTGAGTCCATTGGCTTCAACAGCGCGCGACAGCAGGGGCCAGGCCCAGCACTGCCTAAGCCCCACCTAGGGCCTTCGGGGCTCCCGGGCAGGGCTGAGGGCAAGTAGCCACAGGAGGAAATAACCCGCACTTCATGGGCCCAGTCAGCAAACAACATGGAGCCCAGAAAAAGGAGCAGGCCGGGTAAGAACTGTGCTGCCCTCTTGGATCCAGGGAAGAGGGAGAGGGTAGGACCTGGACCGAAGCCGGTTGCCGTCGGTGCGTGATTTCAGTGGGCTCCGGATGAGGGTTAGACAGAGGGTGGGAAATGCCCTAAATCCTCCACTACATCCACGCTCCCGAGATCACGTCAGGAGCCGGCCCCAGTGCTGCAGGACGCGGCTGCTCCTGCGGGGAAGCCAGGGTCTCCGCACCCCCACCCCACAGAGAGGCAGCCGCGGTCGCTGACGAGGGCGTCTCGCTCTTACCAGGGGGCTTGGGTCTGCCTGGGAGAAGATGTAGCGCAGGAAAACACCCAGGTGAGCCGGTCGGGATTTGAGCTTCCCCAGGTCCTGGAAGAGGGTGTCGCACTGCTGGGGGAGGGCAGGGAAACAAGCCATTCAAGCCGGGAAGAGCAAAGGGCAGAGTGTGCCCAAGGAACGGGCTCCCCCTTCCGCTAAGACCTTGGTGAGACTGGCATTTGCCTCATTCCGGCCACTGGGGTGGCTGTAGCAGATACACCCTAGGGCAGGCAGGGGAGCAGCTATTAGCCAGCCCAGCCCCGGAGTTAGACTCCACCACTGCAGCTCTGCCTGTTTGCACCAGTGTAGCTACCCGGCACTGGGGCAAACCCTCAGGCTAGGCAAGGCCTAAGATAGCCAGACCCGGCCAGCGGAACAAGGGTTCCCCTTACGCTGCCTTCTACCCACCAGCCCTCGTCATCAGCTCCACGAGACGTGTGCAAAGCGAATACGAACCAGCATGGAGCGGGGTAAAGGTTTAGTGGGCGCGGAGGCTGGGAAGCCCCTAGCAAACAACGCACGTGGCCTCGAGCACGTGCCAGTATCATCTTTGCATTGTCCCAGCTCCGGAGCCTACGTCTGTAACCGTGCTGCCCTGCCCAGGGCTTCCAGCAGCTGGAGCGTGCTCCGTAAAGCCAGGAGGCTGGGGACACACTCGGCGGCACTCCGACTGAGAGCTCCCACTCCCAGCCACCCCTGCTCTGACCACTGACCCCACTCCCCTCCTAGAGCTGTGGACAGAACCCAGAAGTCCCAACCCCTACTCCCCGTCACAGCTGCCGCAGTTGCTGGTGACACCAATGGGGTAAATACAAGGACAGAGGGATGCCTTGGGAGCCGTTACCTCGTTGTTGAAATACCCTGGATCGTAATCTTCCTCTGGCCCAATGATGAGAGGCCTCGGCATCCGGTCCAAACCCTGAGGAGACAAGGCCAGGCTGGGACAAGGCCACCCCACTCCCTGCAGCACACTGTGCCATGGGGTGAGCACTGACCCCCAGCAGAGAGCACCCCCCAAGGAGCCCCGCACCCCACCCCCTGCAGCACACTGTCCATGGGGTGAGCACTGACCCCCAGCAGAGAGCGCCCCCCATGGAGCCCCACAACCCACCCCCTGCAGCAGTTTGGGTGCTGCTCAGACCCACCCCTGATGGGATCACAGCCCCAGGCAGAACCGGCTACAGCCTGTCACTGTCAATCAGACCCAACTCCGCAGAGCTGGACAAGGGAGCGTGCCCCAGGCCCATCCACTCCCCCCCTCACCTGCTCCGCGATGGGCAGGAAGGGCGTGTCCGAGCCTTGGCGGCGATGGTGCTGGAACATCTTGGAGGTGATGACCGGGGAGGTGCGCGGGCTGTCGAGGCCGGGGTCGGACAGAACGGAGTTCCGGTTCAGAGAGATCTGCTCAGGACAACCACCACCTCACGACATTAGCAACCGAGACGGGGGCAGCAGGGAAACCCCCAGGGACGAAAGCAGCGCCAGACCCTGTTTTGACTCACATGCTCCCCAGGTCCAAGGGACCAGCGGCCACACCAAAGACCCAGGCCAACATCTAAACCGACTCAACAGCGTGTCCAAATGCGGGGCAGGGAGGGCACCAAATTAACAAATCAATTTCTAAACCAGTTTACATTTGATCAGTGCGCACACCTGCCTCCCCCACGTAGGGTGACCAGATGTCCCGATTTTATAGGGACAGTCCCGATTTTTGGGTCTTTTTCTTATATAGGCTCCAATTACCCCCCAGCCCCTGTCCCGATTTTTCACACTTGCTGTCTGGTCACCCTACCCCGCCTCTGCTCTTCTCAGTAGTAACCTGCAGACACTTCCCCACCCACGTTTGGCTGGTCTTATTGACACTGCAAACTCCTGGGGCCATGTATCGCCTCTTCGTCCTGCTGCAGGAAGTGCCATGACAATCTGTGACTCTGTAAGTCCCAGACCAAAAAGACTAAGGGGGAAAATTTCCTACTTAGGACAAGATTCTTAAAGGTGTTTCGGCACCTAGAAGGATTTTCAAAAGCGTCTGAGCCCCCAACACTCACTGACACTCCCGCTAGGCACCTAAATACTTTAAAACTCTGGCCCTTGGACATTCTGGAAAGCGTTACCCTCTGTTAGGATGGAGGTGAAGGCTGAGAGGATGGATCAATAACTGAACAGGAAGAGACTTCACAGGGATGTTGCAATGATCCTAAACCCCGAGTCTTAGAAACCCCAGGACATTCAGAGTGACGGCTGCACTTACAAGACATCCAACGGCGCCCAAGCAACCTTCATTCTGCCTGCAGGGCCCCCCCCCTCCTGCAAGAACTCCAGGATCCTGATTTGGGGACTGTAGGGTCTGGGATTTCCAGATTCGATTAGACTGATGTTAAATGAGGTCTGATTTTTCCAACCCGCCATGCTCAGCGAGTGCCGGACGCTTGGGGGGCAGAAACTGCTTTTCCAACAAAGCACAGAGGTCAACTCTCTGCTCTACGTGCAAAATGGACCTGGCCCTTAGCCCTGGAGCCGCGAGCCCTCACCTCGCTCACCGAAGGGAACCGCTCAGTGCCCGAATCCAAACCGCTGTCGCCATCCTGAGAGTCCAGAGAGAGGCGGCCTGGGAACAGAGGAGAGACACAGATGGGGGTCAAATTAAACCCCACAGGAGGAACCATGGCAAAGGAGACACCGAGTGATGGGAGAGGGGGCAGGACAGAGCTCAGCAGCCCCACGTGCCCTTTGCTGTCTCCTCTCCTCTGATGACAGGAGGGGCGGATCTGTGGGCTGGCTGAGACCCCTCAAGAGAATCAGGCTGAGAATGTTTAAGGAGGGTTCGTGCAACCCCAATTCGGCCTCTGACGAGGGAAGAGGAGCTCTGGTCTTTACCGGGGGCGACGGCTCGTTAGAATCCCAGGCAAGGGGCAGAGGCAAAGGAAACCAGAAAGCCACAGGCTTCGAGACCGGAGCTCTGCTGGGCACAAGATGGGAAAGCAACCCTGGGCGGCGAAGGAGGAGAGGGCGGCAGCCACACGGGATGTGTTGAGCGTGAAAAAGCAGAGAGCAGCGGACTGGAGCGAGGCAGGAGATGGTTTTCCCATCCCACAAAAATTTGCCATAAAAAAAAGGTCCCCTTCCAAATGGGCCAAAAAGTTGAAATCTCTAACATTTCCGCAAAACAAAAATAAAATAAAATTCAGCTCGGGTCAGTCAACACCTTTTCTGTCAATACTTCTGAGCCGTCTCATTTCGATTTCAACCTTTTAAAAAAATTCTTTTACGACAAATGAACTGAAATTTCAGAACAAAACGTCGTTTCGAAGTGGAAAATGGAACCTTGCGTTTTGAATCCCCTCCCGCCCCCGCCAAAAACAGGAAATTGGTTGAAACCAACCCTTTCTCACAAACGGTTACGGTTTCAACAAATCAACATTGTCCGGTAAAAATATGTTTTGTCGAAAACTTCCTGCCCAGCTCTACAACGGACACTGGGGTGGAGGAGAACAGAGATATGTGCAGCGTTTATCTACGCCGAGCCAGGTGGCCGTCACAGGGGTGCTGGCTGCAAACACACGTCTTTTTACGGCATATCCCATATAGCAATGCCGTTGGGCAGAACTGAAGTGACCCTGCACCGGTAAATTCTGGGAGACCTGGAGTCCCTATCCTATAGCACGGAGAGTGTGACTGTTGGGAACAAAGACTTCTGGGTAATTTCCAAATGCGAGGAACTCCTGAATGGGGAGAGCTAGAATGCTCGTAGCTTCCCATCTGCACTGGAGATACGCTATCACAGCCGATAAGGATCAACCCAGACTCGAACTGAAGCCCTCATCGCACCCGGTGCGAGCAAAGCTTGTCGAATGCCTGGGACGGCTACAGCGTCCGGAGACAAGGAGCTGCACAGGCACCGCAAGCTGAAGCCGCCCAGACCAATCATCTGTTGCGAGGGCGGGCGGACGGTAGCGACGGGTATGCGTAGCTGCCTGGGAGCGACAGCACGACTCACCTTCCGTCCCCCGGAGACTGGCTGAGCCGGAATTGCAGCACGGCCGCCCCAAATCCTGCAACTGAAGGATACACGGGGGTCAGTGTTGTTATCCCTGCTTTACAAGTGGGGAAACCGAGGCACGGAAAGAGCCTGATCTAGAAAGGGGGAGGACCAGCTTCCTTCCATGTCAAGAGGGGCTCTCGGCACCTCCGCGGATACGGAGCTGTCACAAAGAGTCTGTGGAACAGCTGGGAAGGGAACCCCAGAATAGGTTGCACAGGGGGGAGGGATGTTCAACCAGTTCATGTACAAACAACGCCGCGCGTCCTCACTAGCCCTGCTGAACTGGTTTCAAGCCTTCACCTAACCCATTTCAGCCTCAATGCCCTCTGGGTACCTATCCCCACAGTTCACGGCTCAGCCCCCAGAGGCAGTGCATTCTGGGAGATTTCACACTGCACGAAGGCACGCCTTGGCTTGTCCATCTCCACGATGGGACTAAACCCAGTTCAGGCTTCCCCTGGCACCAACTTCTAAGGAGGGCGGAGTGTCCGGGGGCGGGGGAGGAGTCACATGACAATTAGAACCAGGAAGTAAGGACTCCTCTTGTGTACCACTGAGCCGCCTGTTTCCTGTTGGATCTTGAGCTGCAGTTGGCTGACCCTTCTGCGCGCCCCCTCGATCCGTTCCTCCAGCGTGGTGGCGGGGTTCCGGCTGTACACCTCGCAGAACCGCTGAGCGGGGAGACAAGAAGGGGAACGAGGTTACAGCCAGCCACGCAGGGAGGGGAACAGGCATGGGGTGCAGAGCGCGGCGTGGGGGGCTACAAAAAAAAGACATAAAGCAGGTGAGGGATGGATGGCTCTGATCAACACCCCGGTGCAGCTTCGATGTGACCGCACCTGCTGCTGCAGGGCATCAGCTGGTGGCCAGGGGGAGGAGGAAGGAAATACACCTCTCTTCCCCCAAACATTGTACAACTGGCCTCACGCTCAGGAGAGGGTTCCTCTTCCTTGGAAACACCAGTCATGTCACGGACGGAGGCAGGAGCCTGGAATACACGGAGCGGAGGTCTGATCCGCAGGGCAGGAAGGAGAACTATGAGATTAGGTGGTTGTCTTCTCTGCTACAGGCAAGATATCGGAGGAGATGGCCCACTGGTCTGATCCAACATGTCGGGAGGAAAGATTGGACTACGAGGAGCAATAGTCCGCTCCATTATAAGCTAAGATGTCTAGCGGCGAGCTAGACAGGGCAGAGGTCTGCTCCAGCGTGGCTCACCACAGGGAGGAGACAGGCAGCGCATCGTACCTGTAACTCGGCCTCCTCCTGTCTCAGCATGTTGCGGAGGATTTGAGTCGCGTGCTTTTGAACTTGTGGGTCCTGCGATTTGGAACAGACGTGGGCAGAGTGAGGGGACGGACAGAGCTTTGCTTTCATCTCCCCATCTTTCACCCCCACCCCTCAAAGTGGAGCAGCACAGGAGAGTGACAACCCCCGCTTTCCCATCCCCCTGAGAGATCCAGGACAAACCACCCATGGGAGCGCCGCGCCGCCCGGTTACCTGCAACGGTTTGGGTCCTGTGATGCGCTGCGGTGGAGGCAACGGAGGCGGAGGAGGCGGCGGGGGGCACAGGGGTGCAATCCCGGGTGCCCCCGATACGCTCACGTCTTGCTGAGGGCCGGAGAGCACCACTGAGGGAGGAGGAGACCCCAGGAGGGTCAGCGCGACGTAGGCGCCGGCTGGAGAAGAAAAGGAGCGCGGGTGGAGAGAGACCCACTATATAACTAGCCAGTTGATGAGGATTTAAAACCGGGGAATCACGGCAGCTAGAAGAGAACTGACCACTGCCTCCCCCACCCCAACCCCAAATCCACGATGCAGGATTCCGAAACAGATGGAGCTGCAACCGAAGCTGATCTTAAGGGTACGTCTACACTGAAAGTGCAACAATTGCACTGCTGTAGCACTTCAGCGTAGACACTCACGACAGTGACGAGAGGGGCTCTCCCCTCGGCGTAGGGAATCCCCCTCTCCCAGAGGCGGTAGCGAGGGGGCCGGAAGAATTCTTCCATCAACCTACTGCTGTCCACACCGGGGGTTAGGTCGACGTAGCTACGTCTCTCGGGGGGTGGATTTTTCACACCTCTGAGAGACAGCTATGCCGATGTAGGTTTTCAGTGTAGACCAGCTACCCTGAACATTCGGGTTTAATTCAGTTCACAGACGCTAGCCCACTACAGAGCAGGAGTACAGTGCACCCCCAGCCTCCGGAGCCTTCGTAAAGCGTACCCAGGAGAGGCTACATCAGCCAAGGCACATACTAATCCCTAGTTTTTATCTCGTGCGCTTCATCCATACACCTCAAAGAGCTGTACAAAGGAAGTCAGTATCATCATCACCATTTGACAGATGGGGAAACTGAGGCACAGAGCGGGGAAGTGACTTGCCCAAGGCTGCCCGGCAGCCCAGTGGCAGAGCGGCGAATAGAACCCAGGTCTCCTGGGTTTCAGTCCAGTGCTGTATTTGCTCGGCTACACTTGAGATCTCCAGCAGCCAGAGTACGGTCTCTACATTCGAGTGCATGTTATAGGCGTGCTCCCACCACGCACTGAAGGAGTACAGCCCCCGACCAGCAAGGCTGTGCGAAGACTCAGGATCCTGGTCTGAGACCTCACCAAGCCTGGATGTCCGAGGAGGATCAATGTCTAAAACACCTTCTTCCACCTCCTCCAGCTTGCTAGGAATCTCCTCCCACCCTCCCAGGCAAGGAGCTGGCCCCAGTGGCCCATGCATCCCTCACCTCCCGGTGGGAGTACTGTCATCTGTACCTGAAGACGATGGGCAGGCTCCAGCTGGTGCAGAATGCAGCTGCCCACCTTCCCCCTGGCTTAAGCCACTGTGAAAACACCAGACCCAAGATCCAATCCCTCCACTGGCCCTCAGGCTGCTCCCGATGCCAGTTTAAGGTCTCGGTCCTAATCGTCAAAGCAACAACTGGGTCAAGCCCCAGCTACGTTACAAGACTGAACTTCACTCTACGATCAGCGGTGACAACGGTGCTCCTCTGGGACGATGCAGATCACAAAACGCAAGACGACGGGCATGAGAGCGAGGGTCAAAGCATTCCCGGGGGAGGAGACTTTGCTATGAAATGGGCGACCAGGGGAGATGGGGCGAATCCGGAGTCGGATCGCCTTTAGGAGACGCTGTAAAGCCTTCCTCTTCACCATAGCGAGGAGGACACCGCCACGCCCTCCCCCGTACCCACAAAACCTGAAACAAACCAGCCAACAAAACCAAAAGCCCACCTAGGGTGACCAGATGTCCCGATTTTATAGGGATAGTCCCGATTTTTGGGTTTTCTTCTTATATAGGCTCCTATTACCCTCCGCCCCCGTCCCGATTTTTCACACTTGCTGTCTGGTCACCCTAAGTCCACCCCAGGCAGGGCGTTTACTTCCCCACAGGAGAAGAGCCAGAGATCCCATGAAGTCCACTGGAGACTTCACTATTGGCTATTTGCCCAGCCGCTATGGTGACGGGCAGCAGTATACAACCCTGACGCAGACCGACGGCTAAACAGAGAGCATTGTAACGCAGGGTGGGAAGCGGAATGACCACGTTGGCAAGGGAAGGGTTAAGCTGTTCCTGGAAGCCCCTTCAGGAAAGGGATGGGAAGTGACGTTCTCCAAAACAGCTCCTCCTGTAACAACCAGAACGGGAAGCCGCAGAGATCTGGCTGCAGGGGCTGGGCCCGATCTCCAGCTTGCAAAGGACTCCCCTTCCCAACGGTGTCAGTCAAAGGACATTTTACCTTAAGCACTTTTGAAACGTGGGATTGCTGGTGTTTTCCACCCGGGAGACCAGACGCCCCCATTTACGCATGGGGCAGGCACAGCTGTGACAGGGCAAGTTCCCCACACCAGCACGCCTCCCCCCCATCCTGCAGGATCCCCTGCCTCTCGGGTGGAGAAGAGAGCTCAGTGTGCCTGGCTCGTTTGGGCCCTGCCCTCGCCGCTCTGCTCTTAGCCTCAGGGCCCCTAACCCTTTCCACAAGACGCCATTTCAGAACTCTCCGCCACTAGAGACGGAGATTGGCCTCCAACCAGCCACCGAGCGGGAAAAGGCCCCATTCACCCCTTCTACCTACTCACATTTGATGAGCTTCACCACTTCGAGATGGGAGCTGTTCGTCACCATTGTGCCGTTGACCTGCAAGAGGAGACAGACAGCCTCAGACATGCAGCCCCGGCCCCGGCCCACAGAGCTAAGCACGAGGGAGCACCCCGGGGAAACCCCGGCTCGGGGGTCGCCGCTCACCTTGACGATCCGGTCACCCTCTTGCACCCCGGCCTTCATGGCTGCTCCTCCTGCAGTGCGACAGGCAGAGGAAGGGAGTTCCCGTAAATAACGGCAGAGCCCCAGCACCATGAAAACATCCACAGCGCTAGCACAAGGCACCAGGGGGTTTGACACCGGCCCCGGCACAGCATGAGGAGACGTTAGGGTCCAAACTCGAGGTTTTCCCTCCTCCTGTGTGGAGCTCTGTTTTATTCTAGTCCATTTAGGTTCTTATATCGACCTCATCACTAATACCCAAGTGCGTTAAGCAACGGGACTCCCGTCTGCCACATGGTTGTTCTCCTTTAGGGCCCCTGTCTAGGCAAGAGGGTCTGTCCACACGGATCCAATTGCAGGATTGGGGCCTAAGCATCGGTAAAAGTAGCTTTACTGTTTAAGCTCTTCCCCTGCCAGTCTCCCCTTCTTTAATGCAACTGTTAAAAGTTTAAAAATACTGAAAAATTCTCTGTTGCTAAAGCCAGGCCGAAGAGGAAACGTTTCCATGAGGTTCAATTCCAAACGGAGAGACGAGCAAATGAGAAAAAGGCCAAGTAAATTCAAGATTCTTTTCAGCTTTAATGATCTCTCGTTACAGGCAACGCAAGTCAGAACGGAGTCCCTGCAGCACTGCACCCAGGGTGGTCTTTTACCCCAGCACAAAGTGGGCGACTGCCAGGGACAGGGCACTGGAGAATCCGGCTCACTTTGCACTAGTGCAAGTGACTGCACAAGGCGCGGGGCCGTGGGGAATCAGGCACATTGGCTGTTCTTTATTCAAATATTTGGGACATGCCATTGGATTCATGCATATGGAATCTATGCCCGCCCAAAGTCCTGTTGAAGTCACTGGGGTCGATGCAGGGGTCTCCCCATGAAGATCCCATTGCAAAATAAGGGGGTTGATTTTTATCTGACTCTGTCCCTTTAAATCTGTAGGACTTTTCCTCCCTTATCTATCTGAATTTTTCCTGGCCTGAGTGTTAGCCTTATTTTGGCGGGGGGGAAGGAAGGCGTCAGTTTGTAGTAGGCGTTCTCTATTGAAATCGTTGCTTCAAGCCCTACTTCCCCTCAACACCAGCAGTCAGCACAAAGCTAGAGCGCTTCCGCAGCACACAGCCCAGAGCGAAAGTTGCTGACTGTCGGACGAAGTGGGCATTCACCCTCGAAAGCTTATGCTCCAATACTTCTGTTCGTCTTAAAGGTGCCACAGGACCCTCTGTTGCTTGTGGCTGACTGTGTGTTTGCTGAGGGCGGCTACAAGGGAAATTCCCTGCACCCCTGGTCAGCCACCAGCTGCGATTATGTAACAACCGGGTAGAGCACTGTGGTTACCTGGCGCTGCCCGGAGAGCAGAGATGGCGCAACATGGGAACTTGACTGTTGCTCTCGGGAGCCGATTTTGGGTTAATTCCCACCTGATCAGAATCAAGACTCCTATCTAGGCACATACATATCCCAAGTCCCCCTACCGCCATCCCAACCATGCCCTCACACAGCCTAGCTCCTCTTCATCCTCCAGAATTGCCCTCTCTTGATCCAACAGGCTTTGCAAAGAAGGATCCCCCTTTTCCTCTCTCCCAACCCATCCTGGGGCCAGAGAGGGGCTGGGGGCCAAGTGAACCAGGGGAGTCCCATTCATACACCAACATCCGTAGGCCCCCAAGAAGGGGAGGGACAGAGTAGCCGCTCACCTTGCCGGACAGACTGCACCAGGACGATCCGGTCCCCGCTGACAGTGAAGCCAAAGCCATCCTGATCCTTCTGGATGATGACACACCGTTGGACCAAACCTTCAGCAGGGCGGGTGGAAAAAACAAACGAGGCATGAGAAGATGGAGTTTAAATCCATGCTCTAGGCTAGTTGTGGCTCCAATTTCCAGATGGCCCATGGCTACTGTTTGTTCCCTGAGGCCAGGGGAAGACTAAGGCCCAGGAAACAGAAGGCAAATGAACAACAAAACCCCCACACCCCTGAAATGAATTCTTTGTTAACAAAATCCCACGACTTTTCACGTCAAGCTCATGATTTGGGCGGGGCTTGAGACAAGATTTTTGAACGCGATGCGGGAGATCACAAGCAGAGATGTTCTTGCTGTGGAGAGAGCCCAGGAGAGGGGAGTAGGACAGATATGAAGCAAAACACTATGCCCCAGGACGCCTGGGTTCTAGATTTCAGTGGCTCCATTCCCTTTTAAGGCTGCAGTGTCCCCAGGGATGTTTGTTCAAATCCCATGCTCTGATACCAGCTGCCTTTCAGCCCCTAGATACCACGCTGGCTGCTTCTATATACGACACAGGGATAGATAGAAAACATCCATTAGGTCCTGTCTAGGCTCTCTCTGGCTTCTCTGGTTCCTTTCCACCGCCTGGAAAGCCAGCGATGCGATTACGCTCATTGTCGCTGGTAGGAATGCAGATGTTGTTAGTGACCATGGAGTGACCCAGCTTCTGTTGTTCCTCGCAGCGCACGTAACGCTGACATCATTCTTGAGTAGCTGAGGTCTGGTTCAGAAAAAGAAACCAGGCCTGATCCTCCTTTCCATCGTGTCTTCGCCTGTGCAATGCGAGTGTACAAAAGACTCCGGATTCTGCACTCACATTAACCAGGGACTGTGTTAGACACTCACTTTGCACAGGTGTAAGTGACCACATGAGGTCGGGGCAGGAGAAAAATCAGGCCCGATTTTGCACAAACGCAACTAATGACACAAAGGTGGGGGCGGGGAAGTAAGAAATTGGACCCGATTTTGCACAAGTGACAGAGACGCCACAAAGTAAGGGGCACGTGTGTGTGTGTTGTGCACACGTGTGGGCGTGCGTGTAAATAAAATCAGTTCCTAGCAGCTGAACTCACACTGCTCTTTGGGCACAGGAAGGAAGTAACTTACAAACGTGCAGTCTCAAAGTGGCAAACAAACCAACACGGAGGCACGATCGGGCCCTATTTACCTAATCTCATATGGCAGATAAATACTGTTGCCGCTGAGCCCACAAACAGGAATTTTTGTCTGCCATATTCACCATCCTCCCACGGTCAGAGCCATGAGACCCCCAATTCTCATTCTCACTATAAGGCCCCTTTTACAGTGCTGTGGCAGTGTAGGAAACAAAGTGGGCGTAACTCATCTGCACTCACTTTTAGGTCCCTTATACTGCCAGCATGGTGTACAGGGACCTTAGGGTAACAGACTCAGACAACAGGTCTCCCACGAAGAGAATGGTCAGTGCATCTGGCTACACTCTCTTTTGGTTCCTGTATTAAACGATGCGCTGTTCCCACATTCTCCCCCCTTTACCACACTCCTTCTTGTTCCCTTCAATTAATCCAGCCTTTTGAAGCCTCACTCATCAATGGTGGATTATTATATCCCCTCCCCCGAACTGCCATAGGATTCGAACGCCTCCTGGGCTTTTAGCCTCCAAGTACCCCCTTAGAGAGGAACGCATCAGAGCCATTTTATAGAGCAGGGAAACTGAGGCACCTTGAGTGACTCGCCTGGAGTCGCACAGAAAGAGAATGTCGATTGAGAAGTCTCAAATCCCAGTCCAGTGCCTTAGCCACCAAGTGATCCTTCCTCTAGGCCAGTGGCTCTCAACCTTTCCAGACGACGGTCCCCATTTCAAGAGTCTGATTTGTCTTGCGTACCCCCAGGTTTCACCTCACTTAAAAACGACTTGCTTACAAAATCAGCCCTAAAAATACAGCCGTGTGACAGCTCCCTGTGACTGACAAATTGCTGACGTTCTCCTTTTTACCATCTAATTATAAAATACATCAATTGGACTATAAATATTGTGCTTACATTTCAGCACATAGCACACAGAGCAGTCTAAACAAGTCATTGTCTGTATGAAATTTTAGCTGGCACTGACTTCGCTAGGGCTTTTTCTGTAGCCTGTTGTAAAACTAGGCAAATATCTAGATGAGTTGATGCACCCCCTGGAAGAGCTCTGCGTACCCCCAGGGGTACGTGCACCCCTGGCTGAGAACCACTGCTCTAGGCAGACAGCCATTCCCTTTCCAAGATCAGCAACTGGTGTTGGCGCCAGACAGTCCTGCATCACCTCGTGCCTTTGTGTTGGCCGATTCTTACAGTGCATGCTCTGAAGCCCGTTCTGCAGCTATACCCGGCCCTGGGGCTAATCTAGGATCACGGCCTGCAAGCTTTGTTCCAGCGCTGCAGAAGCATTTCAGGGCAAGGCCCCGGCCCCGTGTCACCGCTGCTCTCGTACGCACGGCTCTGTTCTAAAGATTTTCCTCTCCCCTTTTTAGGGTACAGGGACCAACCTGATGCAGCAGGAGTGAGGGCTAGACTGCAACTCACAGTGCAGGAGGGGGACTGCCCCGCCAGTGGGAACTGGGGTGGCACATGCCAAAGCAGGGAGGGCGCTGCAACACCCTTTCCACGTCCACACCTAACCACAAGGCCACTCTTCTCTCTTCACTGCTTGGGCAACTGGAATCGTAAACAGAACCATCGTGGTCATCCCCACTAGCTCTAACCTAGCACTTTTCATCCACAGATCTCCAAGTGCTTCACAAGGGAGGGGAATGTCATTGTCCCCATTTTACTGATGGGGAAACTGAGGCACAGGGAGGGCAGCAATTGGCCGGCTATCAGTGGCAGAGATAATAATAGATTCCTGGGGTCCCAACTCTCAGTTCCCAATTCTACCCTAGACGAAAGGTGTAAGTAGCCCCATATGAAGGGGTAATTATCACAGGCCTGGAAAACATCATTTTATCCCCCATGACTCCCCCCATCACGGTAAAGGGCAGGTGAACTGTTCAAACCCACAAAGACCAGAACACGTGATGGCTCATGGGGACGCCCCTACCCCACAATGTCATTCCCAGCCTGCCCTTCCCCAACTCCAGAGCTTACTCGGGATCGAATGTTTCTTTCTAGAAAATGACGCCCTCTGGCTCAATCAGCCGTTACGGGTCCAGCTGCAAGAGGCCCGACTAGACGTTCCTTTTGGCCTTATCATCTCCGAGTCTGAGAACAGGAGCTTCACGCTGCGCAGAGACACACGTGCCAAAGCCTCCGGCCACCTGCATCATGACCTTCCGGACAGCTTCACCTGCGTGCCTGACGCTCCCGTGGTCAGGGCGCTCACCTGGGACATGGGCGACCTGGGTTCTGTTCCCTGCTCTGCTGCCGCGACCTTGGCCAAGTGACTTCCCGTCTGTGGGCCTCAGAATTCCTCATGCGCCCAGTGGGCAGACAAGCCCTGCCCCACCTCCCGGGGGGATCAAGACCATCACAACTGGGAGGTGCCGAGAGATAACGGCGATGGGGGGGCAGAGATGCAGCCAGATGGTACAGCCCCGAGTCTGCTGTCATAGCAACACAGAGCGGGGAGGAGAGAAGTAAAGGCTACCTGTCGTTTCAGTGCAGTCAGACGGCTGGCGGCGGTGCCCTGGAGACCTGCGTCCTGTAGCCGAATCGCCCAGTGAAGACAGGCTGCTTAACCTGAAGGGAATGAGACGGAAACAGTCATGGAGGAACAAGACTCATCCTTCCACTTACAAGAAGCCTCCCTCTAAGGACGCAGCAAGCCCCAGCGGTAGCCGGAGCAGCTCTCACGGCGAGCGATCGTTGTCTGTTTCCCCCAGGGCGCTGGGCCAGAATTGGAGCTGAAGGACCCTTCTCCCCACCGCCAAAAGCGGCCTCCAGCAGAGACAGCCAGAGTCCCAGGGAGGGCGCTACGCCATGTAACCCACGTGTCTGTCAACCCCGGAGGGATGGGAAGCGTTTGGTTTCCACAGAACATGACGAACAACAGAGAGATGCGCTCATGCAAACCACACGCACAGCACAGGAGGTCAGCGTCAGAGCTTACCAGGCTGCAATGGGGCTGATGGAAGAAGAGAACATGAAGCAGCGAGGAATGAATGAGAGACAATGGATAATTACTTTCTTTTTTTATGTTTGGTGCGCTCGCTATTCCCGGCAGTTCTGTGATGGGGGCGGGGGCTGGATTGAGAGCCCTGCAGGCCAAGGCGGAAAGAGGTACAACAGCACTGGCTTTGCAAGTTTCCCAGAACTCTCCTACCCTGGAGGGACCAGCTGACCGTGGGGCGAGACGGGAGCTCCCACTCCACGGCCCGCTCGGTCCTGGCCAGCTCTCTCTGCCTAATGCCTATTGCTGGGGTGGGTCGGCATGCTGTGGGCACACCTACCCAGCCGGAACTGGACAGAGTCCCAACAAACTCTACCCGCAAGCCGCCGGGAGACCTGCAGCCGCGACTCATGGCGAAGGGGAGAGGTCACTCGAGTTATCTACCCTGGCGCTGACACCTCTCTACCTAGCCCAGCTCGAGGGAGAGCAGCCACTCGGGAAAACAGGCAGCAGCGCTATCTCGAGTGTAACCTGTCCCAGCCCATGTGAGTTAATAGCACCACGGTACTCGAGTGAGGGCAGGATTCGAGATTGGGGCAACACCTGAATTAACTGCAGTGAAGACAAGACCTTAGTACCTACTGCCCCCAGCCTGGGGCCAGACTGGAGCCAGGATCCTAGAAGGGAAAGGCCCCATATCCCACCTCTCAAGCCAGCCAGTTCCCCCAGATCTGGTGCCAAATTGGAACCAGGACCCTACAGGGGAAAGGCCCCATATCTGATTCCCCAATCTTCTAGAGCCAGCCACTCCCTCCAACCTGGTGGCATAATGGAGACAGCACCCTACAGAACCCTATGGGGGAAGGCCCCATATTCCATTCCCCAATATCCCCGGGCCAGCCAGTTCTCCTGATCTGATGCCACATTAGTACCAGGACCCTAGAGGTGAAAGACCCCGTTTTCCCTTCCCTGGTCCCCCTTGAGCCAGCCAGGTTGGGGGCGGTCGTTGGGTTTTTTGTGGACAATATAAAATGGCAGAAGAAAGGCCAGGAGGATATTTACATGAGAGCTGATTGTCACCAAATCCACCTTCACTTTGAACACAGGGGCTTTGACAAAGCGAATGCACCACAAAAGAATGCGATTCTGTCAGCCCGCCCCCAGCCCCATCTTACCTGGGCAGGTGAGAGTGCTTTTTACTGGCTGGCCTGTTGCCCAGGAGGGAAGACAGAAATTGACACCAAAGACAAGGACGGTGGTAAAGATGGCGCATGGTCCAGAGGACAGCATTGGGAGTGCAGGGGGGGGAAGAGGAGACAAATAGATAAAAGAGACAGATGTGTAATGGATGACACAGCTGTAAACACACTCAACACTCGGGAGAGTGGACGGACAGACAGCAAGAGGCAGATGCACTGCTAGCCCTAGGCTTCAGAGCCAGAGTCTGCCGCCCCGGGCCGGGAGGGGCTGCATCATACCCTCTGTGACCCAACGGGGCTCCTTTGAGGAGCGGAAGGGGAGCTCCCCCTCCGTAGCCAATTCAGCTCTTGACCTCTGCGTTCAGGCGGACAGTGGCAAGGGGATGCCAACAGGCGTCCACTAGGGACCAAGTCCCACCAAAATCGTTTCCCGCAGGGCATTCAACAGCCAGATGGGTCCAGCTGCCCTTCAGAGCCTCACACAGGCCCCGATCCCGCAAAGACTCACTCAAGTGCTTACATTTTATGCATTAGAGTCGCTTGCAGAAAGTGAAGTAAGTGCTTGTCTCTTTGCAGGGCTGGAGCCAAATTCCCTCTGACCCCTTCCCCACGCACCTGTGCGCTGACCACCTTCCCAGCAGCCGATCCTTCCTTCCCAGGCCCCAAGAGCGACGCCCCTTCCCTTCTCCCACCCCTTGCCCCACGCATCGAGTCCGCTCCAGGGCAGGACCGTTTAAAAAGGAGCAAGACTGTTGTGGCGGACGCAGGCAGCGACAGCTCCAGCAAAGGGCGCTGAGTGGTCTCCGTTACGACCCTCGCTTTCAGGCTGGAGTTTTCCAGCCTCGGGGTCTGGCTCAGAGTGCACAGAACCAGAAAGTTTGCACCAGATTCCTTCGACTGCTTTGTGCACGGAGGAGGAGGAAATGCAGGCTGTCCTCACGGGGACAGAATACCTTCGCCTTTGGGTGCGATACGCGACTGGACTGTCTGAGAAAACATGTGTGACCCTGGAACCAGACACTGCATCGGGAGCACACACCCACAGGGAGGCGAGGGGACAGGTAGCGGGGTGATGGTGCAGGAGAGGACACCATGGGTCTCATGAGCACACACCCGCAGGGAGGCGAGGGGACAGGTAGCGGGGTGATGGTGCAGGAGAGGACACCATGGGTCTCATGAGCACACACCCACAGGGAGGCGAGGGGACAGGTTCCACAAGTGCCCGCCTGCACGGCAGGGGTAGGGGGCAAACGACAGGTTCAGTCTGAACTTGGGTGGTTTCCCCAAGCGCATACGCTCACAGCCCCAGCCTTGATCCCGCTGCCAAGCGCCGAGAGGGGCGCTGCCCTCCAGCGCGAGCAACAGCAGAGACGCAAGCTGCAGCACTAAGTGGATCCCTCCTCTCCGAGTGGCGCTGAGCCACCTGCGCGCCTACTCCCTTGGGGGCCTGATCCAAAGCCCACGGAGAGGATCCCACCAACGTCAGTCTGCTCTGGACCAGAAAGACAGGGGACGGGAGGGCTGCGTCATGGCGTTTCTACTGGGCCAGCACCTGAAGGGCGACAGCAGGTGGCACGGCGCTAGGTGCTGTACGGACATACAATGAGCACCAAAGAGCTTACAGTCTAAAACCCTGCAAACGCAAGGGCCTAACCCTGCCAATCCAGCTGCCCGCCTGCCGCTTAGCAGGGGTAACGGAACGGCTGCAGCGCTCCCATCAGGACACGCCCTGAGTTTCCCCCGTGCCCCCCACTAATGGTTTTCGATGCTTTTGAGACTCTCCTCCCTAAGCTCCTAAATCCTTTGGGTGCACTTCTGAAAATCCGCACCACCTCCGTGCGTTGCCCGGCACACTCACGGGCGCACACCCACCCACACGCACGCCCTCCACAAGGCAGGATCGAGCCCGTTCTCCCGCACGCATACCTTTCTTGAAAAAGCAACACCACCACCGCCATCAACAAATGCACATGAGTCAGACAGCAACCATCTCACTGAGGCAGACAGCAAATTCCTTCCTTCCTCGCCTGGGCTAAATCCCCACTTAAAAATGAAAGCCAGAAAAGGGGGGAGAGCTGGGGAAGAACTAGTGAAACTCGGTAGGTCTGGACGCTGCTGCAGAGTTCTCAACTCTTCCCTAGGAAAAACACCTCCTAGGTAAAGCCAACAGGACCTGATGCTCAGCTCAGTGGCCGAGAGGTCAGGGCGGGGCGTGAAGATGCCTGTAAGCCACCTTTGCTCTCCCTGGATTCTGGACCCATGCAGGGGTCTGCCTGGCTCGTGTTGTGAAAAGCAGCCGCAGAGCCACGCAAACTTGCTCTTTGCTTCTAATACAGTCCCCAGGAAGCTGAGAAGAGCGGTAGTGCAGCGCGCTCTGGCCACATCCCCAATCGGCCCCCCAGGGACTGGGCACAGGTCCAGAGCAGAGCTCTTATGCCAGCTCCACACAAGCTGTTCAGGGGCCCTGCACGTGGGGGATTCTCAGGGAGCCAGTTCTGCCCACTTGAAAGCCCCTGCACGTTGCTCGGGCAGCCTACAGGGACCACAGCGTAACCGAAAGTCAGGCCCACCATATCTCTGTTTTAATACACGCATTTGACTCCGGGGCTCTGTACTCTGCAAGTCCAAAGCAAGGACTGGCATTAGCTCTTTGGGACGTGTGCACATACACACGAAAACAAGAAGCCATTGCCAAGTTTTGCGCCGAACTGGTGGAGTAAATCCCCAGGATCCATCCCCCTGCAGCCTGCTCGCACCGCACCTCACGTCGACACGACTGTTAGAACTCCATTTCCAATTTGGCAAGGTCTTGCACATTTTTTTTTGGCCCAGACAAAACACAAAGGCCCAACCTTTAAACTTTTGCTCACGATCAGCCGCAGATGGAATCCGGCTGCCGTCCGCAGACCGTGCTAACTGCATGCAGAAGGCACCAAGTATGCACGGGAAAAACTATTTCTGCTTCGGCAGCAGTTGTAGGGCAGTGAAATGTTCCACTGGGGGAAAAAGGGAGGAGAACTACAGAGAGGTTCATACCAGGAAGAGGAGGAGAATGTGACCTACTGCTATGGAGTAGGGGGGAAGAAGCGTCCTCTGCTTACAGATGAAGGGATGGAGACCAATCTACGGTATTTCCATGATGCCTGTTCCCACGGTGTGTAACGCTGGGGTAAATCTAAACTGTACGTGCTGGTACCTCCCAAATGTGAAGTTACACCTGGCATCGCCTCAGAGGAGTCAGGGCAGTGATAAGAAAGCAAAGCCACCCGGCCACATTCCTGCATGAGTGGATGGCACATTCCCAGGAATGTCAAGGTGAAGGGCCCACTGATCAAAGCCCAAGTACAGAGAAACACGGTGGGGGGGGGGGGGGGGGGGGGAGGGAGCGTGCCTGGGCTGGTCAGAGGTGCTGGTCTGACAGCTCCCAAGCAATGTCGTCTGTGCATCTATAACGCATGGACAGCACAAGCAGCAATACAGACACAGGCCTGGTCTAGGCTAGAGAAGTTACTAAACAAGAGGCCCTAACCACCTAAGAGACCTGGGTTCTAGCCCCAGCTCTGCCACTGACCTGCTGCGTGACCTTGGGCAAGTCACGCCCTCGCTCCGTGCCTCAGTTTCCCTCCCACCCTTTGTCCGTCTCATTGGTTGAGACTGTAAATTCATCGGTGCAGGGGCTAGGTACATGCAATGCACAGCTGGGTTCGATAGGCTCTACTGTAATAAATCTGTTTGATCTACTGGTGCAAACCCCTAATGCAGATGAACTGGAGGCAGTTTAACCCTGGACTTTAAAAAAAAAAAAAATCAGTTCAGCTTGCATCAGTTAAACCATTGCAACTCATGTAGTGTAGACAAAGCCACAGCACCTTGCTCTGGAGAAGGAGTCCCAGCCTTGCCCACTCCGTACTAGGTCTCTCTGCCAACCAAGGAGCCCAGTCAGTGCCTTGCCACCTGTGATACAGACACTGGAGTGAGATTCACCCAATGAAACAACCATCTGATGAGCATGGCTTCACGTCCAGCAGAGAGGGGACCAGACTAGAGTCAGGGCTCCTAGGAGCTATTTCTGCTTTTCTTCATTTCAATTTATTCAACTAGTTCAGTTCAATGCCTACAGGTGGATAAAAATCGATTTTAAAACAGATTTTTTAAATTTTAAGTTGCATTTTTGATGTTATTTAAATGGTAAGAAGTTTTTTCTTTTTCAAAATAAACCTGTTTAAACTAAAATCTGAATGTAATATAAAATATGTTAAGGCCTTAACTTTTCAGAATCTCTTAAAGCATTTAAGTAAAAATATAAATATGTTGGATCCCTGGATCTCTATCCAAAACTTTAATTTAAAGGCTGATTTTCTATATAAAGAAATAATTAGGGGGGTAAAAAACTTTTGAGGTCAAGCTTTATGGCACAGTGCATCAAATACTGTACTAAGGGCTTGATTGGTATAATAAAAATAAATGTTATATGCTGTTCTGTGTGTATAATTAAATTCAGGTTACCATCCTAATGCAGGCTTGACACAAACCATGAACAAAACATGAATTATCTAGTGAATAAGCAATAAGGCATTCACCATTTTCTAAGATACTAAAAATATACTTTAATCAAATTAAATTAATAAGAACCTAAACTATTAAGCCATATAATTGCTTTAATAAATGCATAGTTATAATGTGCCCCCTTAGGTAGCAAAAAGATGTACCAAATCTAGTGGAAAAGCTCTATTTCGTCGTAAATCAACATGTTTTAATGGTTGTATCAACCAGTGAGAATGCACCTCTCTTTAGAAAATAACTGAAGTACAAAATGCAAAAGTTGATTTAAAACAAATTAAACCAATCAATTATTTAAACCAAGACTTTCCACTTGGTGATTTAAATCAATCCACCCTGAATGACTAGTTCATTCAAATCAGAAATGCGTCATTCACCATTTTCAATATAAGAAAAAATGTACATTTAAGAATCCGAATAAATGTAAGCTAAGCTATAACTTGCTTAAG